CCAAGACGGAACACGATTTGATGGACGTCTGCCTCAGCTAATTAATCTGCCCAGACAGTAGATCTCCCCTTGACTCTAATACCATAATGATTCTGTCTACTACAGAAACGACGTAGAAATCCCAGTCTCAGATAGACACGTACGCGCGGTTATAATACTAATTCATTCCAATCTAGGGGAAATTCCCCTTTTTTTATCGAAGTTAGGTCACGAGTAACAAGTTCCTTCACTTTCTGAAACAGTTCCTTCATTTAATAATTTTTTGTATTAAATAGTGTTTAAACGGATAAGTTTCAGTGTATAAAAATTCCAAATTAAAAAATTGACTATTTAAATGAAATGAAGACTTTGAAAAAATATTTTGCTTTTTTTTAAATAAAGCTTTGATATTAATGAAATAATTTGAGTTTGTGCTGAAGGATAGTTTGAGAGACACGGATTTGTTGGTTAGTGTTGTCGACCATCTTGGGGCTGACAAGCGTAGGTGTAGATTACCCATCGACGATTATCGCGAAAGACATCACCGACGCAGATTGGAAGGGATACCCACCTCTCACATGCTCCTCGAAATAGCAAGGAAAGGTCAGGTTTTCCCTTCCTCCATCGCAGCATCCTTGGAAATTTCCACGTCACAGATTCAACGAACCCTCTTCCCTTACGTCGCGACTACCATCAGTTACAGAAATTATTCGTGCGGAAACTCAGTCGCGTCGTCATTGCAAACATTCTCTCAAAGTTCCATGTCTATAAATAACGGAGAATATTAGACACTCGAATCTATTCCAAGAGAGTAATTAGAAATTAGAAATATCTTCAAAATTCTTCATAAGCTCGTCATTATTTCTTTATCAAGCAATTTACAACTGCAGTGGTGTTTATAATTTCAACATAGGTACTTTCAAAAATATAGCATCGTTATTTTCCCAACCTCTTAAATAAAACTTCACTAATAAATTGATAAATGATCAAGTTTTCTGAACACCTTGAAAAAAAATTGTTCAAGTCCATCCCGCTCAATGTTCACCTTTGACAAATTAATGTCAAAGCTAATCTCATTCAAGAAAAAAAGAGATCAACGTCCTCCCACGAATTCAACTCTCACGTAGACATGTGTAAACCTAAGTGCCATCGAACGGAGGCAGTTTGTACGGGACGCTCCATTCGAGGTCCCCGAACGCGTCCATCAGCCCCTGAACGCATCAAGAATTAATTTCCCAATCGATCAATGCTATTGCACGCGAGGCCTGACGCAATCGCCGTGAAACGTGATCGGCTGATTAGGAAACAGCCGAAAATTCAACGACGGCGCGCGACAACGCGGTGTCTGGAGCTGTGTGCGTTCGCACAGCAGCCAGCAATCCGCAATTAGGCGGAGGACGCCGCGATACGGGCTCGATTATCATCATCGATCGACCCATCCGTGACACACCATCCTCAATTTCTGTTAAGCGATCGCAGCTAACGCCGGGTATCGTAACGAATTAATTTAGTTTGACGCCGTTACTCTCGCTCATTTAACGAGAAGCTGGTCACCTGGAAGTGGATCAGTCGGGTGATTGGACTGGGGATGCTTGGGCCAATTCATATTTTTACAGACATACAGAATTTAAAATACTTCACATTTGATGCTTCTGAACAAATATTAATGCTTGTGGTCATTGAGTGCAGGAATATCTTTTGAATTTTATCCAAATATTATAAATGAACTGACTGTTTATATTATTTGTACAATACTCTAGGTCCTATGAATAGTAGAAATATATGGATTAGTGGAGCAGCCTGTATTTCGGGTGTTCACAGTCACTATGAGTTGTACATTCTAGCGTGACGTGGCAGAGTCTTATCAGTGGTGCCATTTCCACAATGTCATGGACACTAGACACATCAGGGTCACTATCTCCTATTGCGTTTTTTCTTTCGTTGGTGTTATACTTATTCGTGTCATGGTAATTGACTATCAAGATAATTCGTGTTCCACCAAAAGAGTGTCAGAAAAAAATTCTAAAAATAGATTTGTTTATATTAAATTCTAACGAAGCTGTTACTGTTGTGCTACCTGAAGTAACTGACGTTGTCCAATACAAAGGAATTATGTGACATGAGTTACTGACCCTAAGTAATAGGTTTCAACCCTCTTCATAGAGTACGAAGGGTTGGGGTCTATAGCTCGGTTATCATCGATTCTATCGAAAATTTGTATAGGTCACAAAAGTTGCCAAATTTAATCCCTAATAACTTTTCTTATGTGCATTTTTACGAGGCACCGAAGGTGTAAGGGCAACAGAAAAAAAATCGAATTCCCTAGTTACCAGCATCACCATTAACTAGTATCCTTAGTCGGCCTAACAAATTACTACCGGTGACGGGGTCCTAAAAGCTACCCCGTCAACGCAAGAATGAAAAAGAAACATACAATCGATTGCCGTCGGTTCAGGGGCCTTGCCACCATTTCTTTTCTGTTACGACTCGTCGTCCAGTGTTCCGCCCGACTTCGTCCCGTGTCATTCGGGAAAAACACCGTAGCACCGGTGTAGAAATTTTCCCGCGCGGAATGCGTGACTAATGAGACCTGTTCTCGTAGAAAGAACTCGGATAAAAAGTCGCGAAGTCGAGGGTTGAGATGAAACAATCGTGAGTTGAAAAGCTCGTCTCGTTCGGGGATGGAGACAATTTGTGTTTATTTATGTATTTAATTGAATGGAAATTGTCTTTATTTCGCGATCGTGGAGGGAGAAATTTTACTGGAATTTCAACTGTTTCAATTACTATGATAGACTTCTAGACTTCTACTGCATGTATTCACTACTTCTCTCGTGTTTTAATTATAAAATCACTCGACTGTCCCCATACTCGACTCTGACGGCTTGTTTACCGTGACAAACAGTAAACCAGCAGGAATAATTACAGGAAAGAAGTAAAGTCTGTGTTTCCTAATCGCTGGATCTTGATCGCGTGAACGCCATCGAGAGAAACCAGCTGCGATCCGTATGATAGCGAACACGCATAGTCGTCAGGGCTCCTCTCGTGATGGCCACGCTAACCACGACGTCGATCCGACGAGGACTGTTGACATTGGCGATTGAATGAACTTCTTTCCGCGAGCTTCTCTCGAAACTACCCATAAGAACTAATATGGCCAACGAAATTAATTCCTTTGACGCCATCGGTCTTCTCGAGTACCGAAGGGTCTCCTAATGGCCAGAGGAGGGAAACACGAGGACCGTGGGAATGATAGTAAACAGAAAAACGGCGAGATGCACCACGTACTACGATTTATGCATTTCAGGGTGAAGAATATGAGGCTGTTGCGTTAAGTAGGAAAACTTAAGGGATGGTTGGTGCTTGGGACATGTTGTAAATGAGTGGATTTAATTTTGAAGTGAAATAATAATAGGAACAAGAGAAAGAGAAAGAAGAAGTATGTATTGAAGTGAGATTCTATATAAAAAGAGTTAAAGTATCGAGTGAGAAGAAAAATGAAAGGAAATATTTGTAGAAGATGTATGCATGAAATTAGAAATTTATCTCACAAATTAAATTGGAAACTATGAAATTCAAAAATAAAAATCATATGAAAATAAAAAAAAAAATCGTAAAATGGATACTGAGCAGAGTGTCAGATGACGTTTCGGTTAGCCAAAAATACCTACATCTATAGCGAATCCTGTTCGAGATAAATGAGCCAAAGTCTCCGCAAATGGAACGAAATTACCATACGCAATCTTTCACCGAAATCGTCAATTTTTTAATGAAACGAAGCATCTGATGCGCCCGTCAGCGTTCCACGGCTAATTTCTGACGAGATTTGTATCGCAATTTCAGAGAAACTTTGCCTTGAACTTTAGAAAAGTGTCGAGGTTGCTTGCAAAAAAGGAGAAGGAAAGAAAAACAGGACACGAGCACCTCGCTAGTAATGTATTTCGAGAATTAAACCAAACGAAGGATGGAACGATTCCTTCAGGAGATTTACTGTACTTCGCAGCCTTCGAAAGACGCGTTTTGAGGACGAGTAATTCTGACGATAAAATTTCTATATTGCTCAAGATACGGAGGATAATATCTTATTATCGATACAGTGCATCGAGGAAAACACGAGTAATCAAACAAGAAATATACTTCGCGAAGAATTCTAATTGAAAGTCATGCAAAATATTATGAATTAGACAGTTAAAGCAATCCTTCTTCAGTTGAAGGAAATTACCACAGTTTCATCCGCGCTTCTCACCTGGAAATTCAATTTGTCTCCTAAGTACTAATAAATGCGTCCATTCCGGTCGGGGATTTACGACGCAATAAAACGTTGTTTGCTTTGTTCGCTTCGTTCCGAGACGGAGCACCTGCATCGGAAAGGATTTGCGTTTCAGTTTTGCAGCGATTCATCCGAGACGCGTCGAGTTTCCCGCGTGAACGAAAAACCTGGTCGAGTGGAGCGCGCACGCCGACGGAAGAGGAAGCACATTGTTTGCACTTGGTAAGTGAAATCCAATGGCTGTCTTGGCGAAATAAAGTAAAACCGCCCACGCTGTAAGTGAATTGAATCGGATGCACGAACCGTTAACACCAGTTCCACCACGGTTCGATTTGAGAAATTAGATTTATCGCTTCGAGGATCGACGAACGAGAAGATTCCCTTTCGTTAAGTAAATTCCACGTACGGCCTTGCAGGACGTTCGAGCGTAAAACGTAACACTCCGTGGGTGGGATTTTATGGTAATGCATCTTACGAGGCGCACACACGATTGAGGAATTGTCGTTTCGTAAACGTCTAACTGCGGAAACGTGACGCAAGTGTCTGAGGACCTTCAAAATCTCCTGCATACCAAGGGCAACATGGTACGCTGTAACGAAAATGGAGACACAACATGAGTTAACGGAATTTCAAAGTATCGCGCAACGTTGTGCGTCACAGTTTTGGAGGCGGAACATAACAACAGGAAACTGTGGGCTCTCGTAGTGCAGTGTTTTACAAACTCTCAAAGGCTAAACTTGGTTGAAATAGTTCATAAATAGCGCCCGATTAACACATGTACGATGGAAAGTGTTCGTTCTCTGTTCATTTAGCATTCATTTACCTACTAGTTCATTTTACTTCCTCTTCCTTTTTACTCCTCGTTTATTTCCATTTTATTTCCTTTTTATTAATACCTTTGTTTCGTTTTTATTTCCCATTTCCAAGCACTCAGTGAATCAAAAACACTCAAGTCTTCAGCATACGAGCATGCAGTAACTCGACTAAAAGCATCAGCAAGCTAACCCCCTGGCACATGAAGAGTATTTCAAATATGGGACGAAGATGCTTCATAGTCAGAATTTCGTCAGTGGCTTGACTCAAAGCTATCTGCTTGTCCTCCTCCAGTATAGTAACGTTCTCCAGCTTATGTATCATGCCTATCTCTCGGTAACGCGTAACGAGCTGCCTAAGCGGCCTTCGATAGACGTATCCTCTTCTGGTAAAGAGGAATACGGGAAATCTCAACACAGGATTTGCCAATGCGTACATGCGTAGACTTCGGTTGCCCCTGTAGTCCCAGTTGATTCTGTGCACTGTGAAGTGTTGTAACACTGCGATGCCATCTTCTGCGAGGATGCTGTCCAGGGCTTCTTCTGCTCCTATCACTTTGTACCTAGTCCAGAGATAGAATATTGGTATGGAGTTTTTGTAAGAGAAGAAAGTAAGAGAAAAATTCACATTAATTTTCTATATAATTAGTAACTTATTTTCTTTTAATTTCCATCCCACTTTTCTCGCAAACCGAAAACCTCTTTTGCTTTTGATTCAACGTTTCACGGCCCACCCGGTACCCACCGCTATCGCCGCGGTCGTAAAAGCGTCTGGAAGCGTTACGCTCAACAATTTCAGAGCGTGTTTATAGCGCGATTCGGATACTCCATAAACTAAGTGAGAAGATCGCGACTTAGGTCTCGTAAACTTTCCAACAGATCCAAGAAACCCGAGGATTCGGCCAAAAGTTGATCGCAACAGTGACATTACCTCTCTTGCAGCTCTTTTATGGAGCGATCCGAAGAATTGTTGAAATAAGCGAGAACAACAGCAGGACCGCCGAGACGTTGTCCAGTCTCACGTACTTGTCTTACGTCCTTTAGCAGATCCTCGGTCTCGACTTCGGCCACGGAGCTGGTGAACGTGCTGTTGTAAGTGGCGCTTAGGTAAAAGGAGAACACGATCCAGAGAAGGAGCACTAATCTCAGGCCGAAGTTTCTTGGAAACTCGACACCCTGTGACAGCATTATCGAGAAAACGTACTCGAATTTCACCCGTTCCTTGATCAGCCCCATGTTGGTCAGTTTTCGCAACGCTGTCAACAGTAAAATGTAAAAAATGAGGACCAGGACCACGCACAGCCAGACTAGATAATGAAAGGGCATCAACATCTTCAGGACGTCGTTCTGGATGGTCCTGAAATGGACCAGGCCAGCGAACACCATGTCACGGTACATGTACCAGCAGATGATCTCCATGTTATCGAAAATACGAAGATCCTCCGGTCTAGGACCAACTATCACGTCCAAGTCGCGGTTGATGAGCTTGGTGATCGCGTCCGGCCAGCTCATGCTGTTTCCAGCGCTCGAGTCCACGGTGATGTTGTAGTAATCCCCGAAGTGCTCCACCAGCAATCCGCCGACCGCTTGCAGAGACTCGTTTCCTGGTGGAAAAACGGAAAATCGTGAGTGGGAGTTCAGAAAAATCCGGGGAAGGTTACCTAGGAACGTTTCGTCTTTTACGGGGGAATCCCCACCGCGAGTGAGCGTAATTGTCCGTGATAGAGCGGGGTTAACGTAGCTTCGAAGCAATTAAGGTAATGCAAGTTTCGAATCAATTTGTTTGGATTGTTTCACGCTAGGTGTTTCGTCTCTCTTTAATTGTCGAGAGAAAACCCGAGGAAAATTCAAGAAAATTCAAGAAAATTTTTTATCTCAAAGGGTTATTTAAATTTATTAGTAGAAATGCGATGATAAAGAATCATTAGATTGAATATTATGATCGAACATTGCTCTTTTATTAGTAATTTTAAATTAATGATTATTGTACGCACATCAGTTTCTGTGCATCAATGTGTATACTATAATATTTAATATTTTTCATCGATTGTAATTACAGATATCAACAAGAACAAATGAGTAATGAAGGTGTTGGATCATTTATCTACGTTCTTCGTTGACCTTTAAATATTGACAAAAATCAATGACACAGTAGGGTTAATGAAGAATTTAAGTCGAACAGATTAGATTATAAACTTGACGGTCGTTAATCTTCCAGCGTTAGAAATTAGTCTCCTTTGTCAAGGTACCATCGATCGATGATAAGGTATAATTTTGCGATAAGTATAGTCGTTGATGTGTATTCCCCGTGGTCTGACATTGAAAGATGTCTAGCAAAGTACTCGTTTGCTCAGAAACTCTAAACGTGGTTGCGTTATATTCTCTCTGAATAACATGCGAACGGTGATTTTAATTAAACTTCCAAACGAATCATTTTAAATTGAATTCTTTCAAGTTGAATTTTTAGTATAAATATAATTAATTCTTTCGGGAGAACCATATTCTTTTTCTTTTAATCCAGTCAGCTACTGGACCACGAGTTACTAGGTTTGACCATAAGTGGCTGTTACTACTTACGATTTCCCTATGTTCTCTCTACTATTACTCCGAACATAGTTAACGTAATGAACGCAATTTTTATGATTACTTTCTTTTGAAACGAAAATATAAGGACAATTTCTATTCTGATATTAAATATAAATATTTAACGTAATTAAATAACTAGTAACAATAGATGTCACAAGTAAATTAACTTCGTTCGTTCTACTATTTTCACTGAATATAAACGACCATTTTTCTCTGACACAATCGATTCAATTCTGCGACGGAATTATTATGACACATATTCTGTCCCGACGTTGAATGTAAATATTCAACAATCGCTCATCCCATCAGTGAGATATCAATCAACGCATTAATTCCTGGGAACGACAGGATTGTTAAGTCATGACGATACATATTCGATAGGTGCCCCATTCCAGAAAATAATTGATGCTCGTCCTCCTGGCTCCCCGTTTCCCAGTGATAAATTACCCGAACGAGCGAGCTCCACTTTCGGTATTGCTCGCGACATAGCGTTTTCTTTCATTGCCAAGGCAGCGGCCTTGCAACGATCATTTCTCAATCACGCGTCGCGTGTCCAGAGTTGTAAGCGCGTGGTAAAATACGCAACGGAAACAAATAAACCTTTAAATATTTGCACAGAGTGGAGAAAAGGAGTCCTTGGACCGTGACGGCTGCGCAATAATATTGATCAGCGTTTAACGCTTCAAAAATTAAGCCCGCATTAGTTATCGTCCATCTGATTCGTTTAATTACTTGTCGCGGCGCTATCCACTGGTGATGTTTGCGTCAGCGTGGCTGATTAATGATCCCGCGATTAAAATTAAGAGTGGCATTAATTTGATCGATTCGTTCCGAAATTAGGAATTTAATCAGCGTGTGCATGGTGATATTGTTTTGCTTCAAAAGGATACTAATATTTGGATGTATTGTTTAGCAGGTTTTCAGAGGGTGAGAAATAAAATAGTGACATTGGTAATTGTTTTGATTTGGGCATTTTTTGCGTGTGTTAAATATTAATTCTATTCTTGTCTACAAAATTCTTGTTAATTTCAAGAACACGTGCTTGAGACAGATCAATTGACAAATGAAAAGGGTTACAAAAATAAAATTGACATTTCGTGCAAGGCTGGTTAATAAAGCTGACGCAACGGACCTTGCGATAAACGTAACCAGATTTTCACCGGCTCTGGCTCTAGAATACTAAGGTCGAAATTTCAGCAGCGAGCTGAAGATCTTATCAACGGGTAATCTGGTTGCGAATATATGAACTGGAAAAATTTGTCGCAACTTTCGGAGCCAGAGGTGGAATACCAAAAACGTGCTGGTATTTCATTATTCAAATGAATGCATAAAAAAAGAATATACAAAAGTGGGAATGAAATATAAATGAAACTTATGTATTAATCCCATCAATTTTATATAAGAATATTATAAACTCTTAACATCTATAGAGGTAATTATTTGCATTCAACAGAATTATATTATGTATTAATTATTAATTTATTTATATCGGAGTCATTATAGTGTTCGCTTGAAACAGTTTTTAAAATATGAAAGTGATGACTTAACCCCCCTTCCCCCTATTTTAGCATAGACTTTGAGATACTGCAGCTTCCCTAATATTCCTGGAATGGTTTACTCACGTATCAATTTGAGTGTGTCCTCCTTGCGCCAGAATCTGACAGTTGCGTCCGCTACTATTCCATACTTCACCGTGCATCCTTCACGTACGCAGTAGCGACGGGAATCCGTGGCGTACGTTGGAATTCGATCCACGTTGCTCGTAAACGCTGTACACGATCCCACAGATCGCAACGTAATCTCCCGTCCCGTCGTATTCGCACGAATGACAGTACCGACGCCCGTGTCGTTGAACGCCAGAAAAGCCACGTCTCGATAGCCAGCATTACGTAAATCTCGTGCGAATGAACGAACCTGATCCCCGTTGGCCTTAGTCACGAACAGGTACTGCAACGTGCGTAAACTGGGCTCCCCTGGCAATAGGATTCCCCTCGAACCTGAAAATAGTCGTGCAAACACTATTCGTACACTTAAACAAATTATCTAAATCAATTATTTTTCCATTGATCCGTTGGAACAGTAATTTAATCACACTTTTTATGTGTAAACTGTCACCAAAAGTATGCAAACGTGTGTAAGGTTGTTCCTTGTTCAAATATAAAGGACTTTTTAATTTCTTTCTATATGAAGAATTGATCCCAAGCAAAATATCATTGCTAGTAGTGCAATATCTATAAAATATTCGAATAGTTCCAGTCCTACCTGAAAACTCGTCGTGCTCGATCACGATGTAGCTCGGTATTCGTTCGTTTCTAATCATGACAGTTCGATCACCAATGGTGATCGCAGCATTCTTCGCGCAGGCTCTCACCATAGCATTCTCCAGATCGCCATACTGGTAATAGATCACGTCGACTCGTCTCTCAGGATTGAATAAACGCTTAGCCGTTTGATTCGCACAGGAAACGATGGTTTTTATGTGGTTGACATTTTCATGGTGGAAAAATTGGTACTTCCCTTGAACTGTTGAGACTATGCACGTTGACAGAGAAAGATATAAGAACGTGGCGAGCATCGCGCGGATATTTCTCACTTTGAAAGATGTTTGCTGGAATAATAACTCAAGAATGAGGAGCTGAGAGTGAACGTGCCAATATATACGCGTGCAGATTTTATCTAAAGCCGTGAAAATGGATGTACCGTTCCTAGAACGCATCGATTACCGATCTGGCACAGATTGTTGCGAAATTTCCCTTGACTGGGGCTTTACGTTTCAATTTCATGCGAAACGTTCCACCGTTTTGCTACGCCAAGGGCAAAAAATTGCTCGTGTTGGTTTGAAATGTGCATCTGAAAATTGGATAGCGGTAAAAGCGAATGTCAAATCGGTTGTCGAAGCACCCGTGAAATTCTTGCTTGCTAAATAATTCCCCAAGGATATTTACAGTGGAATCAATACGAGAGATTCCAAGAATAACTTAATTATTACTTCTCTTGCTGCTGCTAAAAGATTCCCAGGGTATTTCAGGATTGTACCTAGATAACAAATATTTAATATTACAGTAAATAGTTTACATTGCCTAATGTTTCCACTATTATTTAGTATAGAGTGACTCTGAATCCTGGTCAGATGTGTTCAGAGGCAACAAGAAAATTATTGTTCAATTTTGTTGAATATCTACATCTAGCTGAACAAAACGCATCGCGTGTAGACGTGCAATTGCGTGGGAACAGCGAAATTGTCGCACGTGTCGACGCACGTGAGTCAACCGCATAGGTATCGTGGCGACTCCGTTTAAAATGGGAATCGTCCGTGACCCCAGCTGGTGCAGGATATCTGCACGAGCTCGGGTGCAAGTGCAGGGTCAAGTGCAGCCGGCAGCTCGCCAAAGCTTTCTCTAGTCCGTCGAATTCTTTGTTGTTCGCTCGAAACTAAGATCACCCCGACGGAGCATGATCGTGATTCGACAAAGACGTTGGTCAAACTCGATTTCTCGACGAAACTATCCAACAACAGCCACCGGGGGTAGCGATGGGTCCGAGACGTTTCTGAATCGCAAAATAAAATTTGGTCAGCTGGATGTTAAAAGTGAAGTAAACATTGGAATAAATGATTGATATTTGGTTAAGTTCATTGCATTGGCCTAATTTGAAGTTATTATTTATTAATTTATTGAGTAATGTATTAATGTATTAATAGTATTCAAATATAAATGTAAATTTTGAGAATACGAAAATATAAATAAATATTTGTATTCACCTCATTATATTCTTTTAAATATAAACGAAAATATTCTCTAAATAAAAAATTTTCAACTCTTCGCTGTATCCAATTCATCCAACTAAAGAAATGGTTCTTTGGATTAGTCCCATCGCTACCGACGAGTAAGCGCAAAGTGATTTATCGTCCCGTCGATCGGCACGCCAAGAATTCGTATTCCCTCTCGTGTTCCCAGAGACCGGAAGTCTGGGATCCAGACACACGAGAAGTTGGCGTGCGAAATACCCAAGCACGTCGAAGAGTCTCGATCCCCTAGCTTGGCCAAGAGTTAGAGGGAAGCCTTTCCTTTGGTTGCAAGTTTGAGAAGCACGTTTCTCTGTCTCCGAGTGGTGTATTGATCCGCGGCAGCTCCATCGGGTGAAAAAGTTCGCCGAGTGTTTTAAAATTCTTCTCGACCCTTTTCGCGCGAACGGTGCGATATCTCGAGCGGTTCGAGATGCTTCTAGGCGAGAGGCAAGCTCGCAATTAAGCGGGAAGAGGGTGTGCGCGAATTAATCGACTTTAAGGACGCCACTGAGGTTCGAACAATTTCCGGGGCGGTTGAGGCTTCGTGGCAGTGTAGGTTACGGTTTACTTTGGGATATTAACCCCCTTCGTGCTCGCTGTTGCGGATTCAATGCCAGTTTCGGACAGGTTATATTGTTCTGGGAATATTTTTTGAAACAAGTGTTCCGTGCGAGTCGAGTGAAGCAGGTGTTTCAATTATTTATGATACGTAATTCTGAAAGTCATGTATGTTTAATTATTAATAAAATTGAATCTTGTTCCAAGTCCTTTTAAAAAAAATATTGGCCATTTATACGCAAAACGTATTTTGCATACCTAAGTTAAATTGCACACGCACGAGAGTACTGAATGTTTTGTGCATGTTTACCTTGTAAGTTCCTCGAATTGAATTTTTTAATTCGAATGACAGTATTATAATTAAAACTGCACGGGAAGTATTTCAAAAAGAACAACTTGTCGGTCTGCCCTCGACCTATTCTGTGGAAACGTTTACGAGATATATGCAATTGAAACGCGCCCCTATTTCATTCCTTGAAAATATAATTCGTAGAAAATATAATATAAAGTTATATAGATGGACCCATGGATGATCAAAGGCTTCTTTTCAACATTCATATTACGCTGTCTAGTGAATTATAAACTATCAAATTTCTTTTCTGTTAATACATTGAGAATTGTAAAAATTTTTTGTTTCTTATATAATTATTTATTATTTATTAAATTAAATAAAATGTTTCGATAGTATTTTATACGATACATATTATCGTACATACTTTCGATATCTATTGCGTACATGAATAATTTAGGAACATGAATATTATACAAGTTCCGTGAATATTTTAAATACATAAACACCCGCAGTCTAGCTATCATTACGAGGTATCGACTGTATGTTCAAGCTTCAGGCCAATATACACCATCTGACTATTCATTATGCACGATAGACACTAGAGATGTGTTTAACAGTGGATGATGTAGGTCTATATGCAAATTAATTTTCATTGTTGACAATCGACCCTAGTGTCAACTCTTTTCAAACCAGATTTTTTCTCTACGTATATGAAATATAAAAAAATGTAGAAAGGAATTCATTGATGAACAATGAGATACTATGGATTTCTTCTATCTGGCGGAAAATGTTGCATCAATTATTATACGACCTCATTAATAAGTAGCGTCGTTGTGCAATCAGTCTCCGAAGAAAAGTTTCTAATATAATTCCACGGGTGTACACAGTCGCTGGTGATACTGTTCTGCAACTTTATAATTGGTATGCATGTTTGAGATGCCATGTATGATTAAAGGATTAATTACAAGTTGGTTCGCCACCTACAACCTCGACTGCAATTGTTCCTAGGAGCAATCACCCCCAAGCAAATGAGAATTCCCTAAAATAAAATACAATTTCCATACGGACCACTTTTCGGAGCAACTTCATAAACTTATTATTAGAAAACAATGATTATGTTGACGAGAAAGGACATCTGCTTTGCATGCATCTGCTTATGAGTGCATCTTCCTCGTTTGCATATCAAATTTACATCCGCATGAACATCCACGGATTCTAAGATTTATAACAAACACAGAATGTTTCAATTTTAATAACTACTCTGCACCCTTCCTTTTTTTTTTTCTTTCTTTCATCCAACTAACGATTTTTCATTACCCGTACCTCTTTCATTTATAAAATGGCTGTTCCGCACAATGTTTGAAACGACCATAACCATCACTCGTGCGCGCCTAACACAAACGAAACGAAATGAAATTTAGATGGGCGCCATATTCGCCAGCGGCGTGACAATGTGCACGTTTTTGCGCGCATTGAAACGCGACAAACGGTGGCTTGAAAATGGAATCCCATTAAGCACGGCGTCCTCTTTACGGGGGTGGGAGATGGAGCAAGGGATAATTAATGCATATTGGTCCAAAGCACACTTCGCCACACTCGCGTGGACCGATCGATAATCGAAGCAAACGGGGCGATAGTGACCGCGGCCTTCTGGGAAATCTGAAAAACACCGACGGATGAAGCTTATTCGCCGACGGGTTCAAGGACGCCGACGCAGACGCCGGGCGTCACTCTGTCTCCACGCGGAGCGCCGTTTCGCGCTTCTTCACCGGTTATAAGTGGCGATGCACTGTACTACAGCCAACAGCTCGCAACTGCAACGCGAGTTAGAACTGGGAATTGTTTTAGACTAATTTCAAATGAAAAAAGTAAAAAAAGATATTTTCGTTTACAATGGTAGCAGGCATTGTGAAGGGGATACATTCTTATTTTTACGTCCCACTGATGGGAGTAGTCAGTGACCTTGAGAAGCCAATTAATCTCGCGTCGACTCACCAGACCATTTCTGAAGGGACACGCGCAATTTCCGTGTACGTCACATCGGTGATCGGTCACGTGTAGCAGACGGAGGCAATATAGTGACTTTCTCGAGACATGCTTAAGTGGAATAAGAGTCCAACACTGGTAAACACATTCCTGTCGACACGCAGAACGCAAAGTTCACCTTGTTTATCTGATTCTCCCTTTTACTTAATTCATCTGCAAATAAAAATTTGAACGAAATTCGTTTTACTCTTTAAAAATGATAAATTAAATTCTTTCTCGAACCTTTATACGCTCGTAAAATAATTGTATAGAATTAGATTAGTAGTATTGACCTCTAGAAAAATATTCTTCCACTTCCCTTTGTCTAGTTTATCCACGAAAAAAATCCCCGTGTATCCCATTTTATTTTTGAAAAGTGATACAGTAAATAATGCATTACTGATCCCTAGCGAAAATTCTTACACCTCCCTTTTGTCTAGTTTGTCCGCGAATAAAAATTCTCATGAATTCAAGTTTATTTTTGAAAAATGTTTAATTGAATTAGTCCTCGCACGTGCGCGAACTCATTGATACAGTAAACAATAAATTGCTGATCCACGGATGAAACGCTGTCACCGATGATTGCGCGATTTAACGAACGATTAACACCGGCACGATTTATTTTCACGCCACGGCGAGCGTTGCACGGAAAATCCGCTGGATTCGCGCGCATAATTACGGATCTGAATACACAGGACGCGAACTGGTCCGAGCCGTGATCCCGTTTCGTCGAAGTTATTTAATCTACGGGATAAATGTACGCGACGGCGATCAATTGTCCCCTGTGATTTTCAGACAGGACGTCTGTTTGAAACAATTAAAGTGTAGCATAAAATATATGGTCAATATATTATGCTACATAAATTACGATGTCACTGATAATACATGGGTTTCGATCGTTCGATAAATGTTACTTTGTTTACCAATTGGAGTTAAAGAT